CGAAAGTTTGGTCAAATTTCTTGAAATACATCAAGAAGGACTGGTCAACCAAGGTATTTTTGTTGCATCTGCTTAAAATCGAGAAAAAACAGTGCGGATCTATCTTCACTCATTTGAAACCTATTGGAATCCTGCTTTCTTTACTTAAGCAGAAGATTTCTATGTTCAGCTGTTTAGCACTACGTTGGAGAAGATCACGCTGGTCATCGTTATTACGAATTAGTCAATACTCGTCAGAATGTTACAAGGTAAATCACGTCACGAATTTGTTCCAGTGTTAACTTACTACGTTCCGTTTCTTTCGGAAATTAATGAAAAATTTTTGTCAGGGACCAGAATTTTTGGAGTTTTTGCCTGCTATGTTTATAGATAACTCTGCGGCATCTTTTTGAACGACTTCAAAGCTTATGTAATCTTGAATTGTTATAAAAATTACAAGAAATTATTGGAACTCCCGAAACGCTTGAATACGCTGATTTGTCAAAAATAGTCATATTTGGTTAATTATGCTAAATTCAGAGGTTTTGATCCACCTCCGAGCAGACCAGACTCACAACCTGGTGTGGAATGGCAGTCTTGGCTGAAGGGTACTCGGCGGTTCCCTCCATCTGACCAGGAGCTGGCACTAAATCAAATGAGAGGGAAAGTGTGTTTCTACAGCACTGTGATTTAAAAACTTGTTTTTCTACCACTTTTCTATATTTTAAATGGCATGCTCAATCTGGGCTTTCATTGCGAGAAACAATTTATCTATGAAAACATCTTGTTTTCTTGTTGCACATCACGACATTAGTAACTTGTTGCGAATGTTCGCTTCTGTTTTTAGGCACAACTTGCCCAAAATACGGTGACTGAAAAACGAGCACCACGCATAGATACCAAGGATCCTCCACCGGACAAAGACAAGCCTGCACCATTTCCGAAATACGACGATATGGAATCAGCACCAGGGGTGAAGAAAGGCGATTAGACCTCTGTAGTTTTCTTTAGAAATTATATGATATAAGTTTGTTTGTTTGAAGAGGTTTACTGGCAGCTTCTACTAGAATAGGATGTTCGATTGTTTTAGCG